ACTGACAAAACCTTTCAGTGTATTCACTCACCGTTTCTTCTTTCCTTTGCACACAGTTAGTGATTCTGGACCAGTCTATTTTGGGTCCCATGATATTCTTTAGAATTTTCAAAACACCTTCTCTCAAATCGCCTTTACTGGCATGTTGTAGTTCAGAAGTAACAGCAGACTCAAAACTGTTGAATTCAGATTCAGTTAGACTTTGTGACATCAGCTGTGTGACTTCTGCTTACGACATGTCATAGAGACGTATTTTGCTGATCAATGCTCTTCTAAATTCAGAAAAATTTGTGCGTGCTGAGCGTAAGCTCTGGGATAGTCTCTCTATATTTTTAGGTCCTAGTGCTTTGCCAACAGTTTGTACTTGGACAACAGAAGAGTTGGGAGGAACACTTTCAATTCCCTCAATTCCCTGAGATCTTCTCCTAGCGCCACATACCTTCACTCAGTCTACAGGCACATCAGTTACTGATTGGATGGCTACATCTGTTTCAAAGAAAGCTTGTAAGTCAGGATAATGGTTATCAGGCTGACTAACTTCTTCCACATCAGTTTTTGCTGCAGCTTTGTTGCGGTTCAAACAAGACCATCTTTTTCAGTTGTGGGTATCAGTCTAGCATTCTTTCTAAACATTTTGTGAGTTTCTTTGTTACCACATAATCAAAACACTAAAACTTCTCTGATCAACAGAGGGTACGCTTGTTAAAACATATCAACTATTGTTAACCTTCCTTGGCAAAGCAGAGGATAACCAATTTACTAGCACTTTATGCTAAACTTCCCTGCTTAAACAGAGGGTAACCAACTCTTCTCTGCCGAAACAGAGTGTAACAAATATTAACCAGTAATGTTAATCTTCCCTGCCTGAACAGAGGATAACCAATTCTTCCCTGCCGAAACAGAGGATAACCTTCATCTCTAAAATAATTTTTTTAGAGGATAACTTAGTTAACCAAACCCTACAGCTGTCTGTTAACTCTTCTCTGACGGCGCAGAGGATAACAAATATGTACTGGTCTTAAAGGTTCTTTTGGATAGAGTGGCACTCACCAACCCTTGGTTGTACAGAAAGATCCAGTCTGGAACGAAGTCAGATCTTTGTTGAGCTTGAAGTTTCGATCTGGATTCAGGTGAGGAGCTCTATCCGGGTCACGGCACCAAAACTGTAGGAAACTTTTTCCTCATCGAAGCAGAGACCAGGAGACTCTTGGGTATCTTCAGCAGAGTTCTTTATTGAGAACGCTCTGCGTGGCGCTGCAGTCATCAAAAGTCTAACTAAGGCAGTGATACATTGTAGTTTATATACATTTTAAGGGGGAGGGATACATTCAGTAGAGGTGGAGACAATCTAACCCATAGCATGCAAATGAAGTACAGGCAATCAGCCCGACACCGGCATTTTCCCAGCCTTGATCTCATCAGCATAACAGTGTCATTCAAATGCATAGGTGCTAATCCAATCAGTATAACTACTCAAAGACTGGGGCAGAGGCACCAAGAGCCATTACAAACAAAAGGTGATAGTCTCAGTAATCTGGTTAATTTGACTAACAATAAGAGAACAGGAACAGACAGGAACCTCTTGCTACACTTTGCTTAAGATAATCATTTGTCTGATGTAATTTACATTAAATGCTAAATACAATGTACTTCACCTTAGTTTTTCATGTGATGCTATGTCAGAACATAGGATCAGCATATTTTAAACAGATTCTTAAATTTGTAATCCCACACACCCAAACCGGAATGTCTAAATAACTATTTGGCTATTTTTTAACACTATCAAATAACCTGCACGGCCTAGGTGATGTCATCAGAATGCTGTTTTAGAGGCGGAGCAAGTTGTTCCATTTTCATTATTGATCGTGAAGATAAGTAATTTTTTTCTTTGGAATTTCATAGACTGATGAAGTCTTCACAGTAACACCAGGTATGTGCTTTAGGAAAGTAGGATTGATGTGCATGCCATGTTGACAAATGATTGCAAAAAAAAGTTTTTACAGTTTATTTTTTAAATTACACTGGATGATGAGGACTGAAAAGCATTCAAAGATATACAGATTACACCTCGTATTACTGATGCTGCACAGTCCAGTGCTAATCTGTCACGATTTTTGAGAGGGAAAAGCTCAGATATGACGTCGAATGAGCTTTGGAAACCATCTACAGTGATAGAAATATTTAGGAACTAATTATTATTGTGGGATAGCACCAGAAAAATTAACTTAAAAATACATCTTTATAACAAGTTAGCAATATTGTGTTTATTTTTCTTACCCCATTTGCAAATAGTTTTTCTTATTTTAAACATATCCTTCACAAAATTTAGTTCACAAGTAAAAAATGCCAGTAATTTAAAAAATCTAGATAGATAGACTTGTATAACATTTTTTTAAATGTATTTGAGAACAGCTACATTTGCCCATATATTTGCAAAACATGGCACAAATACTGATTAAGAAAAAGATTTTTTTCAGATGGGCTGTTGGGTGCATTGATGGCACATAGCAAATCATAACAAGATAAATGGGACACCCTGCGATCCTGTGAACTTTTTGCATTGTGTGGGTGAAGGCCACAAGACTGAGAGTACACCATTTGCAAACAAATCCACCGTCTTTTTAATACCCAGACATTGCTGCTAAATAAAGTTTCATAAATACAGAGTCTGCTCTCCGTTCAGTGACATGTCTGTAAGTTAAATCACACCTATTAAAATTTTAAGTGTGTGATATGTTATGATAAAACAGGCCTCGCTGTGCATGTTGAATAAACACAATAGCTCTGCTCCAAAACCAGGCTTCTTCACTGCTTCCTACAGCAGCAAACTAACAGAAACGTAACCTCATAAATGACTGATTTGGAACGCTCTACATAGGCAGCAACTATACATGTCATATTAATAGCGCTCCGCACCCAAGGCACACTTAATTCACCTCACAATTAATTTCAACACAGAAGACATGAGAGAAACTATGTGATAAGTGATTTGTATAGCAAATGATAATAACTCCACAGTATTTGAAGCTACCAGGCCCACTTTACTACTTTTGAGACTACTTGTTTCCTGCTAAGAGGATGATATTCCTTTCATGTGACTGTATATATAGTGCCTATATATATGTATATACAGTATATATATATATATATATATATATATATATATATATATATATATATATATATATATGCCCTATAGTGCTCTGTGTGTGATAAGTAATAGACTCTGTGATTAGACAGATTGTTTAAGGTGCTTAGTGGACAGGGTCTCTTATTCTCTGTATGTGGAGTAGGGATGCAATGATTATAGATTTTGTTGGTACGTTTATTGTCTGAGGAATAATAACGGTTTTACGATTATGACGATTATTATGCATTTATTCATTTCCCAACATTACTAATGTATAAAATCACATGAACACTCTTTAGTAGGGATGCAACGATTATAGATTTTGTTGGTACGTTTATTGTCTGAGGAATAATCACGGTTTTACGATTATGACGATTATTATGCATTTATTCATTTCCCAACATTACTAATGTATAAAATCACATGAACACTCTTTAGATATTAAAGTGTTATTTATTGCTGGCTTTTGAAACAAATAACACAGTAACCAACAATACAGCAAAAAATAATAATAATAAAAAAGACAAACAAAAGTCCATCTCTCCCATTGGAATTAAAAAAAGGTGACCTCTGCTCTGTAAACATCCATGACAGTATTTCTCTTTTGAAAATAACAAATGGAAATAGATCGCAAAAGTATTTAATGTTTTCAGTTTGTACATTCTTTACATTTCTTTTGGACCTGGGGTAGCGACTTTGGAAACATGGTGAAAAAAAATCTTGTTGGTTTTTACTTATGA